ACGCCGCTCAGCTACCGTCCCAAACTTTGCATTCACACTCCAATGGCTTGGAGGCTCCCTTCATCCAGGGCGGTGTACGGGATCTGACGACAACAATTGTTTGACTTTGCGCGGCTAGAACTTGACCTGTCTCGTATACGGATGCAAATTATGGGGGAACGGGCCGCTCCTGATCTACTCGGCCATGACGACCGGTCCTGAATCAGGAATAGACAAGACAAAAAAAAAGGGTATTTTGCTAGAGAAGACTACACACTCCGTGCAAAATCTGTCGAGATACGGGGCAAGATCAACGCCTGGTCGCCTCACCACGGCCTTGTTTACCCTACAACTCCACTTTCTCCCTTGGCCCGTTGGCCCAGCCTGATAACGCGGAAGCTTGACCACAGCGTCGCTTCATATCCGGTCACCCTTGTCTCATTTTCGGCTTGTCCCTGTTCCCCAGGATGTCCAAATGAATCCTACCCCCCTTCAAACCCTGAGGAGCTTGAATTTGAAATGATGATGATTGACTGCCTATTCTGGAAGAGGAGATTTTGGGGATTCCCTTCTTAGATGGAACTTGGATTGGCTGCCAAGGCCAAAAAGAGTCAAGGCCAGGCTTGCGCGGAACGTATTCGGTCCTCGTGTGTCACATAGTCGGCAAAGGCCAAGGTCGGAGCCACACGGTATGTTCATGTTCCCCATTTGGCCCCTTTATTCAACCCAGACTTGACGCGAAACAGGATAGTCAAGCAGACCATACCCGGAATAAGGGTCCGGATATTGCGTCTTGTATGCTGCGACTGTAGCAACCTCGCGAGCCCGCAGCAGTTCATGATCATCCCGCTTGTATCACCCCACAGGAAGCATGATGAAGTGTAAGTCACAGCCCCCATCAGGATGGAGCTGATGCCTCGGTTCCTCTGAGCAACGTCTCATTCCACTATGGGTCCCTACCAGGGCAGAAGGAGGTAGCCCCCCTCTTACTTTCGGCACCAGAAGACTTCGCCCCATGATCTCTGCGCGTTTGTCCTTCATGACCCTTGTGTTTCCTGTTCTTTCGCTCTCCTTGGTCTCGACCCACTCAACCCTGCTGTGTGCTGCGGATCCCTCCATTCAACAGTTCGTCCGTTCGTCCCGGTTTTCAGTATTACCTTTATTGGAAGGACTGATCTAGAACCCAAGTGGCTTTTCCGTGAAGCAGGCCTTTGCCAGCTTTGAACCCAGACGTGGCTCATCATAATGTTTATGAGCACTGAGAGACTTGAACCTGGCTAGACACGATTGCTATCCTCTAGGCTTCATATGGATATCAAACACACCGGCGCAATATAGCTCGATAATGGATGGGGGAAAATCCCTAAAGTGGGCTTAAAGCCATCGCTAGTCAACGCTTGCCACGTCGCCATCTGTTTCTTGCAGTCACTCGTCGATGGTATATACTGATATGACAGAATCTAGAAGGTGTGACAGCCCGCGGAGTTGATATGGGTGAATTTTTAAGGTCAAAGCTGACCGTCCCCACCGGGATAACGGCGAGAGTTCATGTGAGAGAACGTTCCTGCGAGCGTGCGCTATTAGAGTGTCCCTTGCTCCCCGTCTGCTCCTATCAACACTCGAAGCGTGGCTGCAGCCAGGGCCGCAACGCTCTAATGCCGCTAATTCAGGGTTTTGATGGTAGGCCATGGGTGCCGTGAGTTTCAACGTCCTTTGAGAATAAATTGTGCTTATCAGGCGGAACTAACTGCCATCCAGATGACCCAAAGCTTCCCGAGCTGTAAACCAGTCTGTGCCATCAACTCCCGCGATCTAGCACGTCTTGTGTTGACCATTGGTTGGCAGTCCTGGCGAAGCAAGGCCCCATACTTCGACACCGAGTACAGTGACCTACCCGTCCTGTGGCCCCCTAGGCCACCAACCATTGGCCATTACGCAACGCAGAAATATGTGGTTATTCATTAATCCGGGAAGTTAACAGGAGCTCAAGAGAGCTGGTCCAACTGATCACGCTTATGGTGGCGTTTCTGCGTGAGAGACTTGAGAAGTGGCAGAACACAACCAAGTGGTTAGGATCGACCTGCTCTGGACCAGCGACCTTTGTTCGATTTCACCGCATTCGAGGCTCAAGGTTCAAAGGACCGGCTTCTACTCTCGTTCAAGCCGGATTCAGAGATGTTTGAAGTCGTACTGTCACTATGGCCAGTTTTTGTGATTGGGCCCTTTTGTTGACCAGTTTGACCGTAATCCGTTCACATATACGACACAAACCTCGAAAACCTTCCACATCTGCACGCTTTCCCTTGTTTTCTTGCGGATCCTGTGGCCTTACCCCTTAGACCTACTTTAGGTCCAAACCCTGGTCTTAGCCTCCGGAGACCGGCCACCTGTACCGGCTGCGGCCATAAATGATGGCCCTGAAACCCACGCTAGCCGGATATCCTTCTGCTATGTGGGCCGATACAGAATTGAGTGCTCTAGTGCTGGTTCCATTAGCAGAAAAGATCCTCACGGGTCTATCTGCGTGTTTCTCCTTGATGGGCAACCTGGCCCAGCCAAGTCCCGTACTGGAAGTGCCTAGCAAAAGTCGGTGGGGCGCACACGCAGAGAGAGGAAGGAGACAACAACAACAACAATGGCGAAAAAAGGACTAGGGTATGTGCACTCAATTGACGCCGTCTAAACATTCTCACCGTTCAGATACTTCTTCCAACTCCCCAACACTCAGGCACCATCCCGAGTGGGTCGTAATAACATGACCATAGCAACAGGGGTCCGCGTGTATGCAAGGTCCACGAGGAATGGAGAGAACAAGGGAACATGTACGAAGTACACGCATACATCCATCCATACATGGTACATACATATGTGAGAACCATGTGGGAGAGTGCCACTAGAGCCAATGAGGACAGACTGTATCGAAGATGGAAGGAACAGCGAAAACGCTAAACCTTTATAGGCCGTCTGGTTTTAACGGAGCGTGGCCACTTGCTCACCATTTCAAAGAGGACGAGAAGCAATGGAGACTTTAGGCTCGTCGTCATGATATACGATCTTTACAGCATCTGTTCAGCTCATTAACAGTCCGCCCCTCATGACTTGGGAAAGAAAGGAAAGAAGGGCCTTCTTGATGGTGGCCACTCCAAAGTAGGAACCATCGCTGATCTTGGGCCAAAAAGAAACATGGCTTACCCCGGCTCATCTGTAGGACACTCAGATGTTTCAAGAGCCTGGTGGGGAAGAGGCGTTCTGGGGGGGATCATGATAAATGAGCCATGGTCGACGTGGCTCCTATGACGGCCATTCTCCCGGAAGACCTGCGGGACATGGGGGGGAACGAGGCTAAATTATCGGCATGTCGTTGAGCAGGCCTGGCATATCTACACACATGGTACGTGCCCAATCTACTCCAGCCATTACATACTGTGTACTGCACACTGATATACACAATCCACTGCCCCGGCTCGCGCAAGCAGCTTCCTGCAATGTATGATTGACAACGTGATTTAGCACGGGTTGTTCGGTTGAGCCAAAGAGAAAAGTTCTTTGGCCTTACCCACCCAGCATACCCACCTCAAGAGGACCCCAGATGGGGTAACTGGTAAAGGGTCCTGATCTAGGGAAGAACTGGCAACAGGTACCTACTACCCACCGGATATTTGACCAGTGGAGAGAGGGTCGCCATCACAACCTCACTACATGCTGTATCTGCGATGGTTTACCATTACAGGCGAGGGCCGGAAAGAAGCCAAAACAAAATAAAAACGCCTCTCCACACAGTTCGTCACATCACGCATATGGACGTTACCTACCAGCCCTCGATGTGTGGCTTTTGAAGCCATTCGTGTGGTTGTGTTGACGGGCTCTAGCACTAGCATGGTGGTAGGTGGTCTCCACCCCCCTGTCCTGGACCATGGACCTACTGCAACGGCCGGGATCCTCTTTTTTTCCCTTTCTCTTCGTTGGAAGACCGGGGGAAGGAAACGACACGACACAATACAGCATCTAGGGACCAGGGATGATGATGAACAACATGTCTGTGATGAGTAACAAGATATAAATATGGCCTCGGTATCCTCGACTGTCGAGTTTTGATCGAAGGATAACCGCAGCCATCAAAACAAGCATACCAACAATAGTCATCACCTCAATTCCCCATCTCCATCATCCGGCATATCCTGCTCAATCTCGGCAGGACAGATTGGCATTGTCACATCGCCGCAACCAAGCAAAGCACAACACCGCTTGGACCGAGACAGTCTGATCATACTTCTTTCCTCTATTATCCCTCACTCGCTCAATCAGCTGTTTGTCAACACAACCCACCATATAGGCCGACTTGGCTGTCAACGCGACTGCCTTTGCCCATCAGAGATATTGAATTCTCCGAACGGCACGGCACTGCTCCCAACCCTCTCATCCCCGGCTTGCGGAACTGTTCACTTGCATCCGGTCCAATTTGTTTCGACTAAGTTGTCACAAGTGTAAGTCATGGTTCAGTGTTCATGGATTGGCTTCTATTTCCTGCCCCTTGCCCCCCTTGCTTGCTTACTGACTGCTGCTGGAATGCTGTTGTGTTACCTGAAGGAGGCTTGCAGGAGCTCGCAGCTCTCCAGTCAAGTAATGTCCAAAATGAAAGGAGCGAAGAGGAAGAGGAGACGAAGGAGATGAAGAAAAAGACCATCGAGGCAAAGAAGAACAATATTTGTGCTTATACTAACTTGTTCAAAGATTAGACAGACATAAGGAGACGTGGAAGTAAACTATCGGTTCGGATATTTTGCTTCTTGAGCGAACATTGAACGGTCGTCTACCTGTTCCACTCCCAACGTCTGCCATAAGTATTGCCTCCGTCAAGCATCACTCCAGCCATCACACAGAACGGGCTTACACCCGCGATACCAACAAGCCAAACCTACCTCACGTGCACGCCATCCACACACGCCAATTTCCACTGTGCTACCACCACCCCATTTAACCAGCCACACCTCCCTTCTCCCTACCACCAATTACTACCACCCAAAATGTGCTACTTCGAACAAACCCTCTGGTCCTGCGGCTACTGGAAGTGGGGAAACTTCCGCCAGCAGTGCAACAAGGAGTACCGCACGGGCGAGACGTGCGGACTCAAGCTCGTCTACGAAACCAACTTTATTCCTTCTCCTTGCAAAATTTGCGAGCAAATCACCAAGAAGGATCGAAGACTACGCAAGATGGCAGAGGATATTGAACGCTGGACACGCGAGGGAAATCGCAGAGCCACCATAGAGAAGACGCAGGCGGATATGTTGGGGGTGCGGGGGCAGATTCAAGAGCTGTGGAGGGGGCACGAGGAGAAGCAGAGGAGTATCTGTTGAGGTGTGGCGGTGCAAGTATGACATTTTCTTTCTGGTTGTTTTGTCAAGGCTTCCTTGGTGTTCTCGCACCTTTTCCTAATATTTTTTTCTGGTTGGTTAGAAAATGGAGGATGGACGGGTGGTGATATGAACGCAGCTGCTGCTGGTGGTGGTGGTGGTGGATGGGGAGATGAGGCATGCGGTAGCGGTGGTTAGGTAGGTGGCCGTTAGGATGCCACAATGATGAAATGACTTGCACGGGTAATGGTTTGATGAAACACAAGGAAGAAAAATTGGGATATATGAATGTATGAAACAAAAAAGAGAAAGGCGATAAGAAAGAAAGAAGGGGGGCCAAAGAGAAAAGCACACAGAGAATGATTGGTCCAAATCTTTCCAACGTTTTCTTTTGATTCATATATAGGTAGGTACACAACGTTGTCCCATAGCAATTTTTTTATCCAATTTTGGACATTTAAGGATACCAAGATAGTTCAGTATGTGCGCCAATCCATGATGGTTCCTGGATGATGATTCTTTTAAGCAAGTCCAGCTTCAATTTTCGGCTCAGCAGGCAGGATATAACAGGTAGACTAGACGGCACAGCAAAAGGTGGTGATTGACGTAGTCTGACCATCACTCGGGTAGGAATATACATAAGCTGCATCCGCTACGAATGACTCTCTTGGGAAGAAAGATTGTGTTTCCTGAAGACATAGTAACGTGGGATGGTGAGCTCGAGGGACAGCAAGAAGACGAGGAAAAAAAAAAAAAAATACCGATAGAAAATTCCGCCGACAAATAGAGGTAAGAGGTGATCTAGTTTGCCTGTCCGATCAGCAGTCAATGAGTCAGTTTGAGTTCAGCTGAGATCCCTGGCGCAACGAATCAACTAACAATGATAGAACCAATTAGTGTATGCAAAAGAACAGTGGAAGAATTCTTCTAGAGGTAGGTCGGTTTGGCCAACTAGGTAGCCTAACCAGGAGTAAACCACGAAGATTCTCAGCAGACATTTGGATGTATGTATGTAGCCAGCGGGTTTTGTTTACCCAGAACAAAGCTACCTCACAAGAGGAGGATTATGTTGCTGTACACATGAAGACAGACTAGACTGCCTACCTGCCTGCCTGTTTGTCTGCCCAGGATGGAGGGGCCAGACTGTAGGGCGTAGGGCGTAGAGACTTAGGTACCTAACCGTGGGTGTGTGGTTGGGGATATCTGTAGAGGCACGCTACTGTTACTGTACTCACTTACTGATCATCAGTGCGTGCATATGGCTCTGAATTGATATGATTTGATCTGATCCGCCCGATGTTTCTCTCTCTCTTTCCTTTTTTTTTTTTTTTTTTTTTTTTTTTTTTTTGGTTCATCTCCCCTTTTCTCTCTCTCTCTTTTTCCTCTTTTTCTCCCCCACGATAACAAAAAAACAACAAAAACAACAAAAACAGCGCCCCGTGAACGGACACACTAACCAACGAACGAAATTTAGACTCCGCTCGCACATGCATACTCGCAAACTCAAAGTCAGACTTAAACTCAAATTCAAACTCAAACTCGAATGATGACCAAACGAGTGACTTCTCCCGTCTGCAAGTAGTGTAAGACACCATAGATACCTCTACCTTTATACCAAAACGCTACGTAGGTAGACCCCCGTAAAATAAAGATGGATAGAGGTAACGCTTGCTCACTCACCGGGTGAGTTAGTTGGGAATGGGATGAGCGATACTCATGCTGATGCTGTGTGTAGGTAGTGTGATGGAAGATGCGGATGCTGATACCTGTGTGGAGTGTAGAGTAGAGTAGAGTAATGGTCAGCACCGGCCAACCGGGGGGAAGTGGGCCCGGAACCAAGCCCAGCCGGAGCCCAACCCAGCCGGAGTCGGAGCCGGGGCCGGAGCCGGAAACTGCTGCAGCTTTTTCTGGGGCGGGAACGAAGAAATCACGTATAGGAGGGAAAAAAAAAAAAAGAGAAAAAAAAAAAAAAAAAAAACAGACATGGGTAGTGGAGGTATAGTAGTATGTATCGATGCAGGCCCATGACACAGCAGAAAAGCCAAGCTAAGACAAGATTAGGTATGTAGAGGTATATGGGTGATTACTTGGCATTGGGTCTCAGCTATTTTTTTTCTTCTCGAAATTGTCATGGACGTGGTGGTATCAGAGATAAAGAAAGAGTAGGTGGAGCTTGGAGCTGGAGCTGGAGTCTACCTAGGTGTACGTAGATACACTGTCGTTGCGAGTATACTGTTATGGGCGCACTGGGTGGTCTGGAGAATGGGTTGTGTAGTGTAGTAGTGTTGTATTGTGTGTGTGTGTGTGTGTTGTCTTGGTGTGAGCGGGAGGTTTCCAATTCCCCCTCGTTCCTTTTTTTTTTTTTTTTCTTTCTCTTGAGGCCTCCTTTTTTCTTTTTTTCATGTGGTATCTACCTGGGTTGTCACCCAGTAATAGAATTGTTCTATCTTCCTTCAAGGTTTTGCAGGGTGGGATAATGGAGACTGATTCGACACTCAGGCTTAGAGACAGGAACACATAATCCTGGCAAAGAAAGTATTGATGCATCTATGTAGTTCCTTGTGTTCGATACAGTCTTGACCCAATTTTGCACATATAAACATTGTTTAATTGACCAGTGTCCCATTGCCCCTCGCCCGGATGTTTGTTTCGTTCTTACCATGATAAGCGACTATTTCCCCCCATCTTTTCCCTCCCTTTCTCACCTTCAAATGCAAGCCGTGAGTTGGATCAAGTAGTCAAGCAAGGTAGCAAATAGCAAGAGTAGCTCCCACTCCACCTTCCATGATGCCTCCTCCCCCTTCGAGTCAGCGCTGATAATGTTTGTACACGGTAGCAGCGGTTGTCTTTCAAAGAAGGTACCAAAGGCACCGAATATCAGCCCTCCCACAGGTGCTCCTCTCACTCCATCCTCCCCACTGGGGATAACACAAAGTTTGCATTAGTGTGCACACATACGGTGGTATTGACGCAAACAAAGGTGAGAGGATGGGGGCGAGATGCAGAAGCACACCCGGGGAAGATCCCAACTGGACATTTTCCCCCCCACAATGACTCTTTTCCATCGGCAGGCGTCGGAAGAAGGAGAGGAGGAACGACGGATGATGAGTGGGTGGGTGAATGTTGAACAGTGGCGGATAGTAAGAAGCAGGCTGTCCATGACTGGCCCCAGTATGAGCGTCGGAATTTTCCTCCCCTCCCTCCATTCCAGCCATGCCCAAGAATGTGGAGTTCATCGCGCAGGAAGGCTGCGTGATCCAGCGAATGGCGCCCGAATCAACTCGAACCTTGCCGTAGCCAATATGTAAGGCCCCCATAGAGAGAAAACAGGTCGGGGAGGCGGAGACGGGCCAGCTGGCGAATTGGGCCGAGGAGAGATATGCGAGGACCGAGCATGTTTCCCTCCTTTTTGCATGCCTCTGACAAGCCCGCGATGTAAAACTCTTGCTCAGATAGGCAGAAGAGAACAGAACGACCTTGGCATGCGGTGACCTGGCCGACCTCATCATCCGTGTGCTTTTCTTTTTTCTGCTGCCATCCCGACGCAGGCGTGGCCCCTCGGGAGGTCGTGAGTCGGCCGCGGGCTAGACAGTGGAGACCTTTTGGGACTCGAAAAATCCGTTGTTTTCATGGGGAGCTGGGCCGCAATCGAGGATGCCGAATCTCGCGGGACTCCTGGATGAGGAAGCCGAGAGCCATCTCTTCGCTCCACCTGAACTTAATCCAGTGACAGGGGAAAAAAAGGGAGGGCGACCTTGCGTTGGCCTCGCTAGGAGTAGACCATCAGGCCTCCAGTTCGTCCTTGGGTGGTACCGCGGCCCATAACGAAGGCCATGGCTGGCTGATGTGACATGCTCTGCTGTCCCTGCCTGCTTCCGAATGTTGCATGTCCTTCCACTTTTGGGGGTCACTGGCGCACCCTCCTACTCTTCCTTCCCCTCGTAGCTCTCATTCCTCGTCTCGATTCATGTTACCTGTCCCGCACTCCTCGATAGCCATCTGCGACCTGAAAGTGACCCAACAGGTTCATTTGAAGCTGAGAGGTGCACGGGCCCTGGTGAGGCCTTGTTGCCACGGAAAGAAAATGGAAAAATTGCTGGTGCAATGGTCCGAAAAGATGAGGTAATGCATATGGCTGTGGTCGCATCTCGAATAATGTCCACCACCGATGGAAACGCGGTGTTTCTATACAAGCATCAAACAGGGTCAGTTTTGTGCAAAGGGAACCGGACAAGATGGCTTGGGGATTTATATCTTTGGCAATGGGCAAGAAAACGGAACTTGATGAACGTGGCTGACATTTAGTGGGCGCGCGCCTTGTCAACATTTTGTTTGTTAGGGGCCAGAGGACTACACCACCATGGGTTGGTCCAAATAGCCTTGATCCAGTCATTGAACAAAGGAAAGCATTAAATTGAATTGTTGCTGTACAACGCATACATACCCCCAAACACGCCGTTTTTAAGCCTATCCTTGGCCTTATCCAACATCTTGGGCATACAAGGCGGTGATGTATGAGACGAATGGACGCTGTATCCCACCTCGACGGGTATCGACAACTCATCAACATAACATCCTGCCATGCCACGTTGTCTCTGGCCGCAGACCTATCGAATCGCTGAACGCCCGCTGTTTCCGGAACAGCATCAGGAAAGACGAGAAATTACAAAAGGAAAAAATGATGGGGGAAACCGGCCAAGCGAACTTGGACATGCCACCTCGTATCGGCATGGCCAAGGAGTCCCGGATTTATTGTTGTGTCAGGTGGTTCTGGTTTGATGAACGTATGGTGTGGTATATTCTGGGTCGGAGGATACTGTGGATGTTCTGTCATGTTGCCGTCGGCATCAGGTGGATTGGGTATGGACAACGAGTCACGGTTTAATGTCGTGGTATGGTTTCAGCGCATGGCGGCAGCGGCATCGGTAAAGTTACCGACGAGGGCCTCGCCTCCTTCAGCCTTGATGGGGATGGTTGGCAAGGAAGCTTTGCGCAGCATCTCCATGCTGTCGTCCTCAGGGGTGCCCCAGTCAACCCGTGCAACGGAGGCCATGTCGTCGTGGGTTGAGAGCTTGGAAAGCAGGGCATTGTAGCGCTGGCCGGCAAAGCCGTAGGGAACAGGAGCGTCTTGCATGGGTTTGTCATGCGGGACCATATCATAGATGTCGACCATGTTACTGCGCGGTTCCCGGTCAGTTATTCGCTCTGCCGGCTACGTGGATTTGGGTCTCGGGCTAGATCTTGGATGGGAGACATTTCGGATGGGAGGGCATACTTTGATGTGCGTTCCACCACGCCCTGCAGAGCCGCAATTTCCCTTTCTGTCTCTTGGGGGTCTTCCTGATTCATCATGTGTTGCTGATCAAAGCTACCGTAGTGCATGTTGTTCTCGTCGAAGAGATGCTGGGCCTCGTCCTCCTGTGTTACAGAACAGTCCACGTCAGTTCTCTTGTTCCGTCGAATGCCTCTTTTGATGGTCATGTCATCGGACTGTGGCCGCTATGCCGAAACCTACCTCATCGTAGTCATCGCTCCTCCTACCGCCGAAGCAGGTTGAGCAAAAGTTGCCCATCTTGTTATCTTGTCCTCCCTTCTTTATGTGCCGTGTCGCCAGTCGGATGGTGGTCGGTCGGTCGGTCGGTATCAAGTCGTCGGATGACGTTTGTCAATTGGAATCGCGCGAAGCGACAAAAAAAAAGTCTCGAAGCCAGACGTCGTCGAAGTAAAGTTGGGAGAAAAGACTGTCGCGAAGAGATGAAACTTGATCGATAACGAAATGAGATCAGACCAAAAAAAAAAAAAAAAGTTGGGTCCCGTCGTGAAAATCGCTTGTGGTGCTGGTTTAGTTAAGTTGCTTCGGCTTCTGTCGGGTGCCCGCGGGGGAGGGGACTGCTAGCGAGGTCGGTTCATCAGGCAAAGGAAGGAATGTGTCGCGATGGACTTGCTGCAGTGTCCCGAAATGTGGTCGGCCGTCGGCTTGGAATCGGGCGATGATTGCGCGACGGGAGGCAGGAGGGATGACTGGAATGACGGGATAAGGGAACCGAAGGGAGAGTTGTCCTTATCGATATCGATCGTCGTCGTTGTTTCCAAATTTCAACGCGCCCCGATTCATTTCCAGGTGTTCCTTCCCGCAAGCCCAGCACAAGGTCTTCTCGGTCGCGAATTGAATTGCAGTGTTTGGTGATTTCAACAAATGTGTCACGGTTCAATGCGCCTGCCATGTGCGGCTAAAAATCCACCGGCGAAAGATTTGGAGCGGTCATCTGGTTGGTTCATCCTTGCTCGTGCCTTATTCAGCCGCCTCCAGCAAAACTTTTGCTAGTGTACAGGCGCCAGAGCCCAACGAACTCTAGCAAACCCTGTGTGGCCCTGGGGCTGAACAGCAGGCGCGAGTGCACGTGCGGCTATCCAGACTAGCCTCTAGCCTCATCAGCCTACATACCAAGGCGCTGCCCTGCTGGTGGGTGGCAGAAACAGTTGGTCAATGCGCACTTATACGCCATTTTAACCTTCTTTGGTCGCTAATGTGTAGTGATCTGTCAGTCGCACGAGTCACTCACATCAGTGGTTGATCATCCAGCCAAAAACCCCTTCGACTATATACCTACCTTGAATATGTACAAGGATTGAATCATCAGGAACGGACCACGAGTTCAACAGGGAAGATGAAGTCATCCGGAAATGTTCCGTCATTTCTGAAACGTCTCAACTTGCTGATTGATGAGTGTTCTAGACAAGGAAGCCCCGGTGCGGAGCTCACCGGACTTCGGACTTACTGCCCTGATACCTCTAGTGGAAGCGACCCGACTTTCCGGTACACTATTGCCCTGGAAGTCCCACTGTAACTTGGGTGATGCCCATCATGAAGTTCCCGTTCCCGTTCCCGTCACCTCGCTTTACATTTCCATGTTGCAACGTCTGCACATGGTAAAAACATGGAAACATATTGCGGCAAATGCTACGTGCTGCTATCGGAGACTGCGAAAATGGAGCTTTACCATCAAAATCAGGGCTGGAACTCGTTCAAGTCGACGAGTGTCACAGCCGAGATTGGCATCTTTTTTGCGGGGAACCTTTAAACTCCACTGACGGTCTGGGCTTTGCTTCCTGTCTTCGGAGGTCCCTCGGGCTTCATGGCCCTACACAGGAAGCTCTTGTCGCAAGCATATCAGAGTGATGAGACCACTTCGATTTTTGACATTTACGACTGAGAAGAATGACGAGATAAAACATTAAGGGTATATCCTAACTTTACATAAACGCTCCAATCTCATCCCATTCCTTCCTTCCAACACCCACGCCAACACCATAAGACATGCAAACCTTTAATACATGAAGTTTAAAAAAACGTATAAAGAAAAAGAGCCTCTGTGTAGCTCGATGACCGTAAATCCTTATTCCCCAATCCTCCTGTTGTTATACGAGAGGTGTTCCCATTCCCTCTCCTCGTGCACCAACCCACTACAGCGCTGTCCCCGGGCGCACACCATTATGATCGACCGACTGATCGACGGTATGCCTCGGATAATACACCGTGGCCCTTGACGGATCCACCGGCGACCCGGGATGCGTACCATCGGTCTCCGGCCAATGTCCAGCCTGATCCTCATGCTCCGGCGTCCCAACCGTCGTGCTCGCCACCGACAGCCTCACATCCATCACACTCAACCTCTGATCCAGCGGCGGCAACCTGGGCGACGGTGATAAGGGGACACTCAAAGTTGACATCTCCATCCCTTGCTCCGGAGAAAGCGACTCGTTACCATACACCGAAGTGGCAGCCGAAGAGGCCGCGGGAACCGTCGAATCGAGCGTGGTGGCGGATTTGGTGTAGGCCGGTGGTGGCGTAGTCGGGTAGTAGCTTGATGGACGATCCAAGTCTGAAGGAGCAACGACGTGGAAGCGGGGCGGAAATTCACCGGGCGCGTCTCCCATTGAGAGTCGGCGGGACTTGGACCGCCGGAAGAGCACCATCCAAAGACCGAAGACGAGGAAGATGCAGAATACGGGGACGATGACCCCGATGGAGATTTGGGCGGCCATGGGTATCCCGCCTTCGCGGTCGGGGGAGGGGGAAACTGTTGTGGGCGCGGCAGCTGCTTGTGAAGAGCTCATGCTGGAAGAGATTGGGATGGTGGTATCTGATGTTGTAGAAGTTGAGGAAGATGGAGTTGTCATCAGGGTTGGCGTTGTTTGTGCAACCGTCGAACTGATCAAAGCCGTCGTTGTTGGACTTGTCGGAAGAGGAACGCTGCTCATCAAAGTGTTGCTGGTGGTGCTAGGATTCACACAATAAGGGGATCCAGAGTCGGCGCCCATGCATGTTTGCCCGTCGGCGCAGCAAACATTTCCACATTGGAAATCACCAGTGGCGCAAACCCTTGCACACCCATCTTGGCCAGCCTCCGGAGGGCAACAGAAAAAGGCGCCGTTATCAAGCGAGCACGTTGAGCCGTTTCCGCAACACCAGCTTCCTTGTGTACATGTTGTTTCGTCGCTTGCACACGTGAGATCGCGTTGTGCGAGTTCAAGAAGTCCTCGACGACCTGGACTTGCTAGGGTGCCGATGTCGTGTTTGGGTCGATGGGCAGGTTGGAACAGGAACCGGGTGGGTGGGATAAGGAAAGGAACGTCGTTCATTGTGGCATTAAGTGAAGGATTCATGTTGATTGATTGGTCAAGATATCGTCAGATAGAATATAGTTGGTGTTTGTTTAAAAGAGCGACATGACAGAGAGTGAAAAACAGTGTGAAAGAGCGGATAGGGGAAGGGGGTCAGAAACTGGAGGCAAAACGGCAAGGCAAAACTCGACGAAAACGAAAAAGAAAGGAAAGTCGGTCCATGTTATCAGAATTTTCGATGCGCTGGCTGAGGACGTTAACGGTTCAGTTGGTGAGGCGCCATGAGGGTTAGTTGAAGATCGACAGTCACCAAGTCCGTGACGTTAATTTCATTCAGTGTTGATCCCGTGCAGCAAGGGAAGGAAGAAAGGTACCATGGCCTGTGATTGGTCCATCCGCACCCCCCGGCTCCGAGCCGGATCCCGACGCGGCCTGGAGCTAGCATGCTTGTCCCTTGACACCTTGATGGGCAGCTATGGGCCCCTCTCGGAGATCGGCATGCAAAGGACTCCTCAAGCCGCCCAATGCGGCCAGGACAATCCGGGGAAGTGCCGGGGCTAACACCGGATAAAGCATCGTTCCTCACTCGTCGCCATCTCGGTATCACGGCAACATTCGGCAACGAGAGGTTTTGACGTCGGTGCACTTCAATCTCCATGGTTAGCGCCGTGGCGAAGAGGTCCACCCAGTGACGGCATGTCGATTGTCAGTGGGCTCGTCGAGGACAAATATAAAACATGGAGTCCAGAGTATGATGTGGAGGGCAAATTAACGAGTTTAGTTGTAGCCCTGTGAATAGTCATCGGAGACTATAAATGACCCTGAGGACGAATGAAAGCAATAAAGGTAATGAGACCAGTCAAGGCCGTCCTATGAAGTTTTACGGCGATCGATATCACAGTTTCGGAGGTCTGACCCGGCTGCAGTCGTCAAGTCATTCTGGATGAGGTGGGTTAGGGTTTGCGACGATCAGGATATGCATGTCTCACCATCAACCTAGCATATCCATCTTATCGAACTTATAAAGTCAGTGTAGGACAGGGCATGCATGAGATGGAAATCCGGTGCTACGTATGCCCTACTTTGAGTTGCTTCTTTGGGAATCATGTGGTGGCTGATTAGAAGAAAGAGAGAAAGAAACCCAGGAAACAAGTAGGTAAGTAGAAATACCCCTCATCACTACCTAGGCACACAGCGCACCTTCCCAACTTCTACCTCTACATTTGCAATGAATCTTGGTGGCCTGTCCGATAAAGCACGCACATGCAGCTTTGCAGACTGCACAGGTCTCTTGAAGAGTTCTCAGCAACATTATATCTGCAAACAATGGGGACGAACATCCCAAGATCACGTATTCCGTTGGTTCCTCTGTTCGAAATCTCGGCGGTTGAGATTGGCAATATACCTGCTTTCCGGATTTTCCATGCTGGTGCTCGCCTCCAGGATCTAGCCCTAACCCCATAGTAACGACTGGACTGAATCGTTGACTTCACTTGGAAGGCGCGGCCCTCTCTATGCCGCAAGGGAATGCTCCGCCTCTTGCCCGCCAGGAGTGGAACGGGATTTCCCCAACGTCGATATCTGCTTACCTTCCACTTCACTTTACATGTACCTCTATCCACATGCATCAACTCCCCTCTGGCATGGACGGACATTGTCCGGTTTGATCAAGATACAACTTACAACGTTCGGCATTTCATGCGCATCAGCCAGCTAATAGAACATTGCCCGCATTACCTTGGTTGATACATGCCACTATGGATACCTCTGGTCCTTGATTTATTTAAAACTTCATAAGGTGAGTTGTCCTCCTCTCCCCTTCTACCTCCCCACCTTCTGTCTTCACTCTTCCCACAAACTGGCAACATGATAGCCAACCAAGAGTCTCTTGGCAAAGCCATCAACAGCGCAGGCCTCCACGAGCCTGTGAACTTTCGATGGCGTGTCACTGGCTACTACACGCCCGACCTTCTCGAGAGCCACCTTGAGAGACTGACCAAGGCTACCGAAAAGTACCTGAAAGATTGTCCCTGGCCAGCCAAAGAACTCGAGTATGGGTCTCTCAGGGTCAAGTCGATGCCCCTGTGCTCCCGCGAGGAACGCAACAAGGCTCCTTTGGACAAGAACGGAAGAGCGTACTTTGACATGACGGTACATGAATCCAGCGTCTCTTTTGTAAGCTCACATTTAGGGAGGGAGTCTAACAATGTCCCTCACAGGTTCAAATAACTGCTCAGCTCAACCCTGGACGCATCTTCATTCCACAGAAGCTGGTCGAATTGCACGAATCGCTCTATGACTGCCTGTTTCCCAGACGTGGTGAAAAGTACCCTGTCACCAAGGGCTCCGGCTTTCGCTGTCAACTGCCCATTGGTGGTTTTGAGGGGCCAAATCACATCTTTAGTATCGTGAGGCTTTGCTGGACTGATGCACTATCAACAGCCCTAAAAGGAGTGTTCATCAGAAGGGGGATCATCGCCCACACGCATGCTCCAGAACAATTTCCCGCCTCCGCAATCGTGGCCTTTATGAGAAACGTGAGAGCCAGCGATCAAGACCGATTACAGAATGAATTATGGCTGACTTTGGCGCAGAACCTTCTGAGACTTAAGGCCGTTTCCACAGAGTCCGCCGAAGAGCTCTCACACGTGCGCAACGGCCCAAATGCCGTCCAGACAATCGTACACCATCTACTCGATACTTACCTCACATTGTGGAAGACCTTCAAGCACACGCTCGCTGCGGCCAAGGACGAAGGTTAGTCCACCCTCAAGCCCTCATCTCTTCAATGTACACCTCGAACATCTGACATGGATTAGACGCTTCACCCAAGATGATCAAGAACGTCGTGACCAATGCCGAGATCATGCTATCTTCCTTGAATAGACTCGTCAATAACATTGAGCGCCATGTCGGGAAGCCCGTTCCGGGATGCAAGAGTCGATTCTTCCTCAAGAGGTGGATCAAGAACTATTTCCGAACAGCGGAATCGCCTACCGTTTGCCTTGACACTGACATCACGGGTCTTGACGTTGATCGTTCCAAGTGCATGCGTACGTATCAATCAAATGTTTTCATCCATTGATACTTTCGGGTACAAAAGGCTGATTTGAACCGCCCTACAACAGTTCATCGCAAACTTCGTCGCTACGAAGCAGCCTTGTGCAACATGATAGCTACCGTCCGTCTTCTGGATCCGAGCACATGCAAAAAGTTCGAGCAGGTGGTTGACTCGACGGCCAACACTCCCGACAAGGCCGACTTTTTGCATATGTACGCCGGCACTCGGAAAGGGATGCCGAATTTGACCAGAGGGCGCCTGCTGGACGATATCAAAGGGTTCATGGAGGGAGTCGAGGATACACACCGCAAGCTTGTTGATCACCTTGAGGTCATCGAACAAGAGATTGGCTGGTCGATCGACCCTAACTCGAGGGTTTCGTGGTTCCATTCGGCAGAGCTGAAGGAAAAGTGCTACGACTCGGACTCTATTGACTCTACTGACTGATCGGACTCCTGTTGTGGGACGCCGCCCTATTTCGGTCGGGCCCAAGGAGCTGCATATTGGAAGGGAAGATATTGGTATAATTTCAGGATGATTTCCACGAAACATTATGGATATGGTGACTGCTAATAGGGCGCCTTGGACATTTGGTTCGACCTTTTTTTATGTGTGATTTATCAGACACACAAATACATGGCGTACACATCTTTGGCACGCACACAATGCGCAGTCACCACGTGGCTATCGCAGACAATGCAATCAGGTTTCAACACCGTAAAATCCCCATGGGGTTAGAGTAGTACCATAGCCGTCCGGTCTTCTGTAGTCATGGGCTAGATACGAGAGACGTCATGTCAGTATTACATTTTGGCAGAGCGAGCCAATCAGGGCGCAATATGCCCTAGTCCCAACGTTGACACTTGATGTACATTCCTTTTTGACGATTGTTAGTCATCCTTTGTTTGTCTGTTACTGGCCAGAACAGGCGGTGATGGTGATATTGTTTGTCAAGACTGGTATGAACTAGTAATAGTGGCTGACATCTCACAACCAACCATGCCCCTGCTCTTTGGGCCAACAACAACCAGGCACCACTAAACAAAATGGCGATAATCCCCAACTTTTCAAATCGCCGTGTTGTTTCCTTACTTTTGTGCTAATTCAATAACCTATCCAGCAACGATGACTGCATCAAAACCAAGAACATCCCCAATATCACCCAGACCGAAATCCAATCATGCTCATCGTCCAGCTCCCCTATCGGAATTTCAGAACCTAGGCAACGGAATCCTCTTTTTCGATCCAGCAGCAGAAACATCACCACCAAACCATGACGGTAACCACAACCATGACGATAACCACTTCCATACCCCCCAACTCATCGTCCTCTGCACCTGGCTAGGCGGCGCCACCCCCCGGCGCATCGCCAAATACACCTCAGGCTACCGGCGTCTCTTCCCCGCCTCGCCCATCCTCGTCATCCAAACCGTCATTGCCGACTTCACCGTCCGTTCCGAACAGGCCATTCGGCGAAACCTAGCCCCAGCAAGAGATGTCATTCGGCATATTCTCCTCACCCGCGATCGCTCCAATTCCCTATTACATGCGGGAGGAGCCTACAATGCACCGGCGGAAAACGAGAGTCACGGGACAGGCACAGGAAGGACAGGAATCCTGTTACACATCTTCTCCAACGGCGGGTGCCACCTATCCCTCCAATTAGCCCACAGCTATTTTTCGTCTTTTGGCCACTCGCTCCCTGTCACGCTACAAATCCTCGATTCCTGCCCTGGCACGTTTTCCATTGCGCAGACGTATGGAGCAGCAGTGCATTCGGTTCCGACTCATCATCCTTGGGTGGTACAGAGCATGGAGCGATGGGGGTTGTGGGGGGCCGTGGTGTTGGTTGCGGGAATACAGCACGGACTACCGAGAGCGATTGGAGAGAATGTGGTGAGAAAAAAGTTGTTGGGTGGGGTGGGGGTGGATTTTGAGGGGATGAGGGGGGGAGTTTTGGATGATGAGCTTTTTGGGGGACAAGGAAAAAAGGAAAGAACGGGGAGGTTGTATTTGTATTCGAAAGCGGATGAGGTGGTGGGGTGGAGGGATGTTGAGAGGCATGTGAGGTTGGCTAGGAAGTTGGTGGTGAAGAAGAAGAAGATGATGATGAAGGAAGGGGGAAAAGATGATGAACAACAAGGGTTGGTGAGAGCGGAGAGGTTTGAAAAGGCGAGTCATTGTGCGTTGGTGATGGAGGATGAGGAGAGGTATTGGAGGGCTGTGAGGGAGAGTTGGGAGGGGCAAATGGAGAGGAGGCGGATGCGGAGAGAGAGTCGCGAAGACGAGGAGTGTGAACCCGGAAAAGTCGTGTTGGGGGCTACGGATGAACAAGGGGGAGAAGGGGGGGTTGGTGAGGAGCCAGGGACAAGGTCCGGAGTTGAAGAAGGAGTTGAGGCGAGAGCAGCTGAGGCTACTAAGTCTAGGAGAGGTCGCACTAGCAAGCTCTGATGGACTCGACGCTTCTGCTGTAGACGTTGTGAAAAACGAATGAGAAGATGGGATGCGGTTTCGATGATCGCGTCGGGAAGAGGAATTGCTATTCTTTTTGCAGTGTAGTTTATGGGACTCCAAAAGGAATAGACACATGGAGCAAGCCTCAGAAGACCGTTGGCACTCTCGTCTATGATAGCGTGGTTTGTAATTAACGACAGCTCTCATCATGATCATCCAGACGATGTGACAGTATACATGAGACAATCAGGTATAAGACCAGTTTGAGCAACGGCGGTCTGCGTCCTCTCAATGATAACCGTCGTGAACATCGGAGTTGCTTGCAAAATGTGAATACCTGTAGTAGAATTAGGCACAAAGCGGACGACAACGGCAGAGGTTACCTTGTATTTTTTTGTTAGACCACTGGGGACCCACATTTTAGCCCCCATTCGCACATCCGAAAGCGGTTGGGCGCATGATAAGGCTGGAGTTAGAGCGGTTGCTGGGATCCACTGTCATCTCCAACGACTCTAACTTGTGCGACTCCACAATCAACCAATGCAAACCTGGGACAGTGACCAGCTTGTGGTTGGTCCGTCTTTCCCCGAAAAGAAAACAAATCAATGAATAAAACCATAAAATCAATATCCTAAAGAGTCCCTGCTTGTGTCGAGAGACATCGACAATCACGGCGACGTTTTGGATAAATCTCGACGGTGCCAGAGAAAGTGCCTCTTAGGTATAGTCCTTTGTTGGCATATTGCCCGATCAGCTCGAAACCCCACTTTCATCCCAGAATCTGCAAGTACGGAGTCGCCAGGCAATATTGGCTTTGTTTACTTTCAACCTTTCTGACTTCCGACATCAACCACGGCGACTTGCTTCTATTTCCGCGGCCAGGCCCCTGAAATCACCTCGTTAAAATCGAAAGACATTCAAAGGCATTCAAGTTACCATAAGCCGACGACTTTAAGAGCTTGAAACCCGGGGTTCACACCGCCTAACCCACATCACATGTAACGCTTTGCATAGCAGTGCTTGAATCCATCCAAAGCAGCATCACCCACACAAGCGAGTTCGCAGCCGACATACACCATCCGTCTATCGCTCCACGGAACCCGTTTGGGAACCGCTACAAACCATTCACAAATTTCATCCATCGGCATATCAAACCATATAATTCCCAATGGCTCTCTCATCATCATCATCGCCCAGTGAGGCCGTCTCCAGACGACAGTCTCTTTCCATCGGCTGCGCTCCAAAGAAACAACTCAATAACATTGAGGTCCTCAGTCTGATGCGCCAGCAACGAGAACACCCAAGCCCACTCCGAGAATGGTCCCCCGTCCATCCAGGCATCCAGCTGAGGGTCAACCTGCTCAACAAACTCATCTCGGACCTCGAGCGTACCCATCTTCGCCTCCAGCAAGAGGCTCAAAAGACGCAACAAGCCTCCCAAATAGTTCAAGACTTTGCCGCATGGCCATCCATAGCACCCGAGTATGCCGCGATAAGGGCAGCCAACCCGTGGCTAGCAAAACAAGCCGCCAAGTATGCTCGACCAGTCATCGAGAAGGAGTATACCCAGGCTATTGCTTTTTTGCAAGCTAAGCAGAGGAGAGAACAGTTACCAGAAGGAGACAAGTTAAAAATGATATCTGGGGAGGAGAGGACACCAAGTCCGGCGTCGAGTCCCGAGGAACACCGCCAGCTTAGGAAAAAGGCGAGTAGTCAGGACCTGCGATCCAGTCTGATCACCCACCAAGGTTCGCCTGCTCCCCGTAGGCCAAGGACGCCCCCTGAGAAGGAAGGGGGTGGGAGACCAAAGACGCCCGAAAGGCCCACCCCTACTGTTACGCGACGACCGAAAAAGACCCCAAGCCCGCGACAAAGACCACCACCAGTCAACGAGATCAAGAAACTGCGCCTCTCCCCACACGATTCGAGCAAATCTTCGTCTTCCAAAACCCGCAGTACTCCATCCGGTCTGTCGCCCAGTCCCATGACGAACCACCTCTCGAAACCGAAGGCCTCGCCGTTGGCCTGCCTAGAGTCGATGGGCATCGTTCTCACCCCCGAACAAAGACTCGAATTTGCCCAGCGCGCCGAACAGCTGGAAGCCATGGCATATCTCGAACTGCGTTGGCATAGGTTGCACTACGCAATGACTGAGATCCAAGGATTCTGTGTCCGGGGGCTCGCTGAGAGGGAAAGCGAACGGATAGCCAAGATGATGTACCCAATACGGAGACGGAGGTCTACTGCTACTGGTGGTTCTGGAGTTTCTGCGCTGCGGGGGTTGCTGGCGGGTTTGGACGAGGACGACGACTTGACGCTCTTTGGTAGCGACGACGATGACGACGAATTCGAGAACGAACTGTGCCACTACGAAGACGAATGGGAGGCCGAATCAGAGGATTCGGACTTGGACGACGAATGTGACTCGGGAGAAAACGATGACTCAGACGAGGACAACTTCCCCGGCTCGGCAGTTGCCTACAACAACCGCAAATATGGTGGTCGCGGTACCATCAGCACCAGCACTACCCCAGATCTCTTCGCCCGCGCCGGAGCACAAAGTAGACTATCCATGTCCGTGGACATCGAACAGCAGCAGCAGCAGCAGCATCTTCCTCTCAATCCTCACCATCCGCCCCTGCCAGACACACCTCCCGTCATCTCTAGCATCGGAAATGACATTGCCCTTCCAAACATCGAAGCCGGACCCGAGGAGCCCATCGCCCTAACCCCTCCCGCTACCCCCAAACCTGCCCCCCGAAAAATCAATCTAAACCCGCGCAACGTGACCCTGCCACCTTCCAACCCGCGCGCCTCTACGTTGAACCTCAACCTTGGTCTTGGCGGCGGCAACCTAAGAAACAAACCGAACCCGGCACTGGCAAAAGAGATTGATACCCTCTTGCCCTGCGAAAAGGAAAACCTGCCTAGCACCCCACTGAAGACGCTGAACATCAATCGGAGTAACGCGCGGCTGCTTGGTGGGACGGGTTTACTCACGCCGACGGCGTCGGGGCAGAGCAACGGTGGGAAGAAGGTGGGGATTGTTGATCTGGGGATTAAGAGCAGGCCGCCTGTGTTGAGGAAGTTGGGCGTCATGTCAGCGAAGGAGGTGGATGGAGGAGGAAAGGGTGATGCGGGAGGGAGGAAAGAGGATGCTACAAAGGAGAATCAACCGCCTGCTGTTGGGAATGGCAATGGTGGTGCAGGAGCCCCTGGAGGTGGCAGTAGTAGTAGTAGACCTGGGCTACTGAGGCCGGGGTTGGGGAGGAGGTTTTCTTATCATGCTGGTGGTGGAAGGGTTTTGGGATGATAATTGTGCTCGGCCATCGATCTCTAGCAATGAACTATGCAAGGGTTTCAAAAAGGGAAAGAGGGAGAGAATGAACATCTTGTGCATGAGCAGGAAAATAGAGGTAAGATTGCTAAAAGTTGGATCGTGACCCACCAAGGGACGAGACTGGAACATTCCAAGCCTGGAGGGATGTCTCGGTCTATATCACAAGTGGTCTTCCTGTCTTGCATATTTGCCAAGGGGAGATCTGAACTGAGGAGCTCTCATTCTTGGATAGCGTGACAAACGAGCGACTGCGAATCGCACGTGGGAACTTGGATTGAAGTGAACAAACAAAGAAGCATTTACCGGTATGCATATATATACACAGCCCATGGACTGGCGCATTTCTAGTTTAGTGTTAGGATTACCAACGATACATGCACACTACAATGATATTCGTATTACAGCCAAATGCGTCCATCCCTATTGTCTTCCCTTACTTGAATCCTCTTTTCAGACTTATTCATCATTGTTGCTGGTCCCATATGGGGATCTGGTACATACAGTAATAGTTTTGTGGAATCGGTGTGACTATATAACCCCCAGTAAAAAGCAAATTATTTCATCAACAAAAAAAAACAGCTGCATGGCGCAGCGGAAGCGCGCCGGGCTCATAACCCGGAGGTCACTCGATCGAAACGAGTTGCAGCTAAAACTCAAACTCTTTTTTTGCGTCTCTTTTCTTTTGCTCCTTTCTCCTCCCAATCTGTGTTTCACTCTCTTCTTTTCATTTCATTTTTTCTTCGGGGCGGTACCTCTGTTTCTTGGCCGGCAAGGATTTCTCGCCTACAGTACCAAATCCGACTGCGTGCATATAACCTGCAGTGCGGCTCTTTTTACCATTTTGCCCTTTTGCATTTTGCAATACCCCTGTATACTACATGCACTACAATACCTACACTAGTTCTACACTATGGAAGTGCAAGCTTGGCGGTCCTGTGGTGTATACTGTGTACCAAAACCCAATTGACTGGTTGGCGAGACCTTGATTCAGTTCTTTAGTGATCGTTGTTTGTTGGGCAGGCAACAATAAGTTGGTAGTCTAGTTGGTTAGTTCCGGCCCAATTTGCTAATCCCAAGTGCGTGTACATAGTAAGCTTGACTCGTCCCCAATAACAAGCTACTATCCGGTATAGTGTAACGGTTAACATATCGCGTTTTCACCGCGAAGCTCGGGGTTCGATTCCCCGTACCGGAGTTTCTTTTTTCGTTTTCCTCGGCTTTTTAGCTTTTTTGCCCGTCTTTTGCTTTGTCTTTGTTTTGTGTCATTGTTCCTCCGCGACATAAAGTTTGCCCGTTACATGTTACTTATATCTTTCTCTCTGCAGGTTTTCGTATGCTCACCTTTTCTTCGTTTAGTTAAAATAAGCATGCGTCATACAGCATCCTTCGATACAATTTCATGGGCAGATTCAATCTTACAGAGTGACAGATGGGGAGATACCACGATTTTAGCTGTGCTGCGAATACCTGTTGAACTAAGATGACAAAGAATATCTCTTTCTTTCTCTCAAGAGTGATTCGATTTCTTGCCATGCACACTAGGGAACTCGAAAGTAAAGCCCATCAATCAAAACGAGAAGCAACAAATTAGGTTGCGGATCCAACAGGATTGAAATGGAAATTGTATGTGCAAGATTTATGTTCATATGTACAAATGCTCATGTCAAGATATTCACAATGAAAAAAGTTAAGTAGGTTCACCAACCAAAAATCACCCTTCCATCACTTCATCAGTCTTCCACTTCTCATCACATCCCATCCGCAGGCATGCACACACCCCCTTCCACTTGCCCTGGTACTTGCTTACACGCACTGCGAATAGTAAT